TTCATAGTTTCTAATATTAATATTTAACGTTATGATGAAATACAACTGTGTGTACAAATATTCAAATGCCTAATACACTAATAGTCTTGAAGCAAGAAAATCACAAGTGTATTTTAAGTATTTTTATTCAGGAAACTTTACGTCGTATGTTTTAATTACGTAAACTTTTAGCCTCATTAACATTCGTAATTACCTTCGCAATAGGCAATTTCACAAATGATGTAATTAAAGACATAGTAACACTTAAGCCTCAGTATTTCTTATCTTTAGACTCGCGTGATTTCACCTCGGTAAATATTTCTGATGCTTTAATCATTTCATAATCTATATATGTATTTTGTTATTAAGTAGATTATTCTCATTATCGTAATGAATGAATCCAATGTGGGCGTCCATCTTGTTATTCAAGAACACATGTATACACGGGACCTTGAGGGAGATGGTTGTCAGGCGAGGCGTGTCCCTTCTCCTGGGGCTCACAAAGCCCCTCTCCTGGGGCTCACAAAGCCCCTCTCCTGGGGCTCACAAAGTCCCTCTCCTGGGGCTCACAAAGTCCCTCTCCTGGGGCTCACAAAGCCCCTCTCCTGGGGCTCACAAGGCCCCTCTCCTGGGGCTCACAAAACCCCTCTCCTGGGGCTCACAAAGCCTCTCTCCTGGGGCTCACAAAGCCCCTCTCCTGGGGCTCACAAAGCCCCTCTCCTGGGGCTCACAAAGACACATTTGAAAGGCAATATCAGTATCATATGGTAAACATTCGAATAACATTTAAAAACTTTAAAGTCTTTCAAGACAATATATACGGACTAAGTTTGATTAATAATGTAATATGAAGCCTGGAATCCGCGCCTTCTGAAGCACAAAACCAGAACTGAAAAAGTGCTGAGGTTTGAAACAAGATTAATGGCATAATTAAGAGGCTGAGAATAGATTAAAGATACTAAATATTACAACCCTAGATGTGAGAAGTAACAAAGGGGGGGACATGATCACAACAAACAAGATACAGGGGGAATACACAATGTGGACAAGGACACCCTCTCTTAAATTGAGAGAAAGTTGGACTAGAGGACATGGTGGAAGCTAGAAACGCAAATGAGTCGAAGAAATGTATGGAAACTCACACCCTGTACGGGTTCTCAACAAGTATAAAGAACTGGAAGAAGAAGTCGCGGAAAACCACATATATCTCCAATATTAAAGCCAGATTCGAAAAAAGAATTTGAAGAGGCAAGATTAATTATAACGCAACAGGTATAACAAGGATAGGCGGGGTATAAAGAATTAGACTTCACTCCCCCGCTGTCACTGTTAGGCGAGCACTCCAGTTCTTGCCTCGCATGTTATTTGTAATTATCGCTGTCTCCTGTATTCGCTAAACACTCTCCCGTTAGACAGTCGTCTGTCTAAAAAATATTATTCCTCAAAGTACTTGAGTAAGCTAATTGGAATATAAATTGTTCGCGGGAGAACTGCGCCAAAAATGCCGATAAAACCGTGATTATATAATTCGCCAAATAGCAGGAGCACTTTGGACAAATTAATGTCGAAGGTGTAAACAGACCGAGCGCGCGAAGGCAGGGCCGGCGGGGCCAATCATGTGTCATCACCTTGTCTCATTTCCAATCACGCCAACATGATCTATTACCACATATTATTACCTTTACTTCCCGAGATATTAGCACACACGGGGAGAACAATAAGCGAAGAATAAACAAAGCATATAGTTGAAATGTTGGAACAGTTGAGCGGCGGGATCAGTGTTGCTGACAGGATCTTAAATGGAGTTATCCTTTGCCGGAACTCTGATGCCGGGAGGACGATGACAGCCGCATTCAGTTGTAGAGCTAAACACCAATATCCGCAAGCCTTCCCTTGAGCCAGGTATGTATGCAATGTGTTCGGAAAATTCTGGGCAGGTATCAAGGGGCTCCTCTTGCTAGAGATTTCTATCAGCAAGCTTGTTCACGATTGAATAGCAAACACAGAGATTCATCATCACCTGAGGAGTTTGTTTACAAAAGTTTAAAACGCCAAAACTCCGCCCCTCCCACTTCTTTGACGTCACGAATATTTGCGGTCCAGAATAGGCAATAAGTCTATTATAAGCCGTGATGTCATGAGTATTTGAAGACGCTTGTACTTAATGTCGCTCCAAGTTCCACTCCCCTCTCCATCTAACGGCATACATGTTTATAAACGTTTACATACGCGCGTGAGTGCGTGCGTGACAATATGTATACAAAACGAAGCACTCCTGGTTCAGTACAGGTGATAAGTCTACCTTTCACGGTCGCTCAAAGATCGTCTGATTTGTCCCCTTATCTGCGAACACGAGACTTTTGTAGTCGCTCCTGTGTTCTGCAACTCCCGGCTGCAATCTTCCTCCCCCCTTCCCCTCCCTCACGGCGGTCGGCTTTTACAGCCGTTTGAATGACTTCTCGTTGGGTTAAACAACACGATGTCTGATATTCGCCATCACTTAAATTCATTCACAAGACGTTTGTTTTTATTGAATTCCTACGATATTCGTAACTTCCATTTGTCATGGTTTAACCTTCAAGACGTGCATACACTAATGGAACATCTCAACTTCTAACTTAAACTAAGACCTCCAAGAAGTGTACCGATAGAGGTGTACAGACAAGAAGCAAATAATATTTTCCCACAGTCTCACAAGTGTGTTCAAGATGCGTTCAATCAAGCAACCGTCTAATAACTTGCTGATATTGGACTCTGCCTACAGTGAGAGGTTCTCGAGAACAATATACTCGGCTCCCTGTAGCCGCATGACCAGAACACCGTGAGATTTAACCGTCCGTAGAGTGATCTTTGCATATGAGAGCTTTCTGCTGGGATGTTATGTCGCGTAGAGCAGCTTACGCCTGTGTAGTAACATCTTATCCCATGACTGGAGCGGGACATCAACCTCCGGATTGTGTTTCGTGATTTAGCTCCACCAGAGTGTATATTGCGTACACACACAACACACTAGAGAGAAGAACAATTTGTAGAACACAGCACAACATGAACCAATAGACTACAAAATATTATTTTGTAGTCTATTGGTTCTAAATATACACATACGCGATGAGCTATGAAACTTTGACACAACATTGTAAGGCTATGAATGAAAAACCTACAAAACTCTATGATAACAAGAAAAGTAAACAAGGAGATATTATAAGTTCGATTCATTATTCATCTTGAAGTTCACTATTTATGGCCTCTTGGCCTCCCTTAGTTGGCATTCTTCCACTGAGTGGAGGTGAGAGGGTTGTTAAAACTTAAGGTGTAGTGGGCACTATGACTTATGGTTGTGTGTGTGTGGTGGGCACTATGACTTATGGTTGTGTGTGTGTGTGTGGTGGGCACTGTGACTTATGGTTGTGTGTGTGTGTGTGGTGGGCACTATGACTTATGGTTGTGTGTGTGTGTGTGTGGTGGGCACTATGACTTATGGTTGTGTGTGTGTGTGTGTGGTGGGCACTATGACTTATGGTTGTGTGTGTGTGTGTGTGGTGGGCACTATGACTTATGGTTGTGTGTGTGTGTGTGTAGTGGGCACTGTGACTTATGGTTGTGTGTGTGTGTGTGTAGTGGGCACTGTGACTTATGGTTGTGTGTGTGTGTGTAGTGGGCACTATGACTTATGGTTGTGTGTTGGAACATGTTGTCTTCTAAATACCCCAAAAAAAAAATGAAAAATAGGAAGTCTGTTTTTCGAATAATTTGTAGGAAAAAAATGAAGATTGTTTATCAACATTTAAAATCTTACAAATGTCAATACTTAAAGAGTTGAATCAGTCATATCACTGACATGTTTAAAATGAATGTAAGCTTGGAGCAATGTGTTATTTGGTATACCTGTGTTACACCTGTGTTACACTTGTGTCACACCTTTCGGGACAGGGGTTAAACAAGCGTTTGAACACCTAATTAACAGGGCGCCGTTCAGCCGAGGACAGCATACAGTTCCTACGAGAATGCGTTATTAAAATACAGTGTTGTACACATGTGTTCGTAGCGTACAAATACTGACGCATTCAACATAGGGAGGAAACACACGAGAACCAGATGTCAGAGGGAAGGAGAGACAATAAGACCACGCTTGTCCAGCTCACCCTTGTCAGGTCACCCTTGTCAGGTCACCCTTGTCCAGGCCACCCCTTGATCAAGTCACCCTTGTCCAGGCCACGTAAACAACTAACATTCTAATTTAGCTCTTATGGAACGATCCAGCAAGATTCATACTGTCTTCACGAGAGCATGGGAGCTGTTCCCAGCACTGATGGTCCCTCTTGGTCCCAGACCCGACGGGGCATCTCGGTCTCAGCCGTGACACTCGCCCCGAAATCAAATAAAGTGTTCTTCTGAATGTTATTTGTGTACACGCTATGTGGGTTAATCCCGCGTTGGGAGGATTAGTTATGCATGGGTTGGATTAATAACGCGTTGTGTGGATTAATGACGCTTACGGTGGCTTTATCACATGTTTAGTGGATTAATGACGGGTGGGTTAATCATGTTTTGTATCTGAACAGAGACTTTGGCAGACGACGTTAAGACGTCGTTTTATTACTTAAAAATTTAGATGAGATTAATCTTTTACGGAAAATTAGATGTGACGGTAATTAGGATGTGTCAAAGAAAACTGATCTTTATTAACCATCACTTAGATTCTTGACTGTGTACTGAAGTAGCGGCGGTGTGGTGGTGGTGGTGATGGTGGTGGTGGTGATGGTGGTGGTGGTGATGGTGGTGGTGGTGATGGTGGTGGTGATGATGGTGTTAGTGGTAGTGATAAGGGTGGTGGTAGTAGAGGCAGTGGTAGGGGGATAGTGGTGCCGGCGACGATAGTGTAGTAGAGTTGGTGGGGCAGCGACAATGACGGTGACGGGCGTGGCACTGAGACACCTACCGCCCCTTCTTTCTCCCCCCCCTTCCCTCCCCTCCCTATCTCACTCCTCCCACCCAGCCTCTTAACGGCCCTGGCACCATAACCTGCACCCCGTGGCACTCTCGCACGCCCCACCTGCACCCACCCACCACTGCTGCTGGTCCTACCCTCAGCCACAGCCTTCACCGGAGTCAGTCACGGGCACGTCGTCGTGGTGACTAGAGTGTCTCTTCTCCCTCTGCTGACATCTACAGACATGCCGGTAAGTTCCGCCGCTTGACAGTGCCGGTAAGTCCAACGCCGTGACAATGGCGGGCGGGACCAAGACAATAGGAACAACCCTGGCATTTCGCGCTTCGCTGGTGACCCTGACCATGGCAGTGACACTCTTCCGCACTACAGTGGCTCCTTCCATCATGCACAGCACCTCTAACAGTGCCATAACAGAGAACCACCTTATCCACAAGTCTGTTACCGTGCCACCATAGAGTAGCAGAAGGGAGGGAAGGGCATTAGCAGGGGGAAAGCGCCAAGCCATTACGACTATATAGCACACAGAGAACCGAAAATGGCCCTACACTTTCAGTCTCCACCCCCCACCCCCCACCCCTTCCTGCTTCATGATTTAAAACACTCTCTCTTCTCCCCCCCCCCCTTATACGAAGACGTACGTCTCCACCTCCCCCTATACGACGACGCACGTCTCCCCACCTCATGCCAAGCAGGTACGTCAAACAACGTGTATTCATTATCGTCTTGAGAGCAAGCAGATATCACTCTCCGGGTGGTATTAGTTGGGGTGATCTTGTGATGACGTCGTCTATTTCATATTGCATGGCTCTGCTGGCGCCCGGTCTCCCACTACTGACGTCTCTACCTCTGCCATCCACATTGGGAGAGCCAGGGGTTGGCGAGAAAGTGTGTGTGTGTGTGTGTGTGTGTGTGTGTGTGTGTGTGTGTGTTTATGTGGATATCGGTTAGAAAGGCGGGATCCAAGAGCTAATTGCTCGATTCTGCAGGCACAAACAGTAAACACACACACACACACACACACACACACACACACACACATACACACACACACACACACACACACAGACACACACACACACACACAGACACGCACACACACACACACACACGCACACACACACACACACACACACACACACACACACACACACACACACACACACACACACACACACACACACACAGACCCAGCCTAGCCAAGTTGTCCAGTTAACTGACAGTTGAGAAGCGGGACTAAAGAGCCGAAGCTCAACCCCGCAAGCGCAACTAGGCGAGTTCACACACAGCGCTCAGGGGATAGAAGTCCTAAGGGATGAGGTTCGATTCCCGGCCGAGGCAGAGTTTCTTTCACTTGATGGCGCTGTTCACCTAGCAGTAAATAGGTCACTACAGACATACAACCAGAGCGCAACTCCGTAGTCCCCTGAGACTGATGGATGACTACTACTAAATAGGTACCTAGGAGTTAGACAGCTGCTACGGGCTACATCCTCGGAATGTTTCTGTGCAAGAGAGAGAGAAATACACGTAGTAGAAAATAGGTCGGAATTCTATATATTCGACAACCTACGGCTAGAAAGTCGGGGTCCAAGAGCTAACAACTCGATCCTGCAGGCATAAATAGTAAATACAAATAGAATAAAACACACACACACACACACACACAAAAGACACCGACATGCACGCACAAACTTACGAAGAACATACACCCATTCATACACACATAGATTGAAGCACTCACGTATCGAACATATACATAAAAACCCCAACGACAGTCACACCACAATGACAATGCGGAGTCATGCATGACACACATGATTGTCACGTAGTCCGCTCTTCCGGTTGAGAAATCCCGCCTCGCCTCCCGGAAGATCAACAATGATCACGCATAGAGAAAACGGACGCACCGCAGGGCAGCGAGAGACCGGCAACGCCCCAGGCTCTGGGCTTGGAGAGCAATGCTTGTAGGTACCCAAGACCCCAGGCTCTGGGCTTGGAGAGCGATGCTTGTAGGTACCCAAGACCCCAGGCTCAGGGCTTGGAGAGCGATGCTTGTAGGTACCCAAGTCCCCCAGGCTCAGGGCTTGGAGAGCGATGCTTGTAGGTTCCCAAGACCCCAGGTTCAGGGCTTGGAGAGCGATGCTTGTAGGTACCCAAGACCCCCAGGCTCTGGGCTTGGAGAGCGATGCTTGTAGGTACCCAAGACCCCAGGCTCAGGGCTTGGAGAGCAATGCTTGTAGGTACCCAAGACCCCCAGGCTCAGGGCTTGGAGAGCGATGCTAATAGGAACCCAAGACCCCAGCCTCAGGGCTTGGAGAGCAATGCTTGTAGGTACCCAAGACCCCAGGCTCAGGGCTTGGAGAGCCATGCTTGTAGGTACCCAAGACCCCAAGCTCAGGGCTTGGAGAGCAATGCTTGTAGGTACCCAAGACCCAAGGCTCTGGGCTTGGAGAGCAATGCTTGTAGGTACCCAAGACCCCAGGCTCTGGGCTTGGAGAGCAATGCTTGTAGGTACCCAAGACCCCAGGCTCAGGGCTTGGAGAGCCATGATTGTAGGTACCCAAGACCCCAGGCTCAGGGCTTGGAGAGCCATGCTTGTAGGTACCCAAGACCCCAGGCTCTGGGCTTGGAGAGCCATGCTTGTAGGTACCCAAGTCCCCCAGGCTCAGGGCTTGGAGAGCGATGCTTGTAGGTTCCCAAGACCCCAGGTTCAGGGCTTGGAGAGCGATGCTTGTAGGTTCCCAAGACCCCAGGCTCAGGGCTTGGAGAGCGATGCTTGTAGGTACCCAAGACCCCAGGCTCAGGGCTTGGAGAGCGATGCTTGAAGGTACCCAAGACCCCAGGCTCAGGGCTTGGAGAGCGATGCTTGTAGGTTCCCAAGACCCCAGGTTCAGGGCTTGGAGAGCGATGCTTGTAGGTACCCAAGACCCCAGGCTCAGGGCTTGGAGAGCGATGCTTGTAGGTTCCCAAGACCCCAGGCTCAGGGCTTGGAGAGCGATGCTTGAAGGTACCCAAGACCCCAGGCTCAGGGCTTGGAGAGCGATGCTTGTAGGTTCCCAAGACCCCAGGCTCAGGGCTTGGAGAGCCATGCTTGTAGGTACCCAAGACCCCAGGCTCAGGGCTTGGAGAGCCATGCTTGTAGGTACCCAAGACCTTTTTTTCAACAACATTCTTTCCAGCTTGTTGTATACTCCGTGCCGCTCTGTGCGTATTGGAGACCAAGCATTCTAGACGTGAACAGCGGCTTCCGTGACACTACCTGCATTTCAGTGGTTAGCAATTACGGTACATTCTCACGCACGCTTCTGTGTGGGAGCAGAGTGACAAGTGGTAGAAGAAGATAAGAGGAAGTGTAAGAGAGAGAGAGAGAGAGAGATTTCACAAGCACTTGTCTCTCATAATAGGAGTTACATAAATGCTTCAGCAGGAGCCAGCCCTCCCAATTCCAGGCAGAGGTGCACCAGATGTCGTCAGCTGTCAGTGCAACCTTCCAATTTTTTGTGGGGTGGCTGCGTTTATTTCCTCTTTGGCAAGTGAAGGCGACGACGCTGCCAACTTCAGCCAGACCTCGACACCCGCCCAGGGGTTAATATTTATCGCTGAAATTGGGAAACTCCGACTCTAGCAAGGGAGTGTGGGCATGTTAAAAGGAGTGCAGGAGTGTAGGGGTGTGTAAGGGAGGATAGAAGACGGTAGGTGAGGTGGTGGATTTGGTGACAATACGTTAGGCTATGGCGAGTTCAATGGGCTGAGCGAACGGAACAAATTGATGCAAACAAAGGGTCAGTTAGGTCATGGAAGTGTAGTTAGGAGTGTTGAGAGGTAAGGATTAAAGGGGGGCATAGGAACAGAGAAGGATTTGTGAGGGGAAGACAGGGAAGGATAAGGGAGGGGGAAGGGAAAAGGATTTACGAGGTGACACAGTAGGATGTAGGTGGACCAGATAAAAGTGTGGAGCTCAGTGCATAAGAATGATTTATTTACAATTAGTAGTTCAGATGTTTAGATTCAGATGTTTATTCAGGTAAGGTATATACATACAAGTGATGTTACATTAATGGATTGATATATAGATAGAGCTAGTACATACAATGCCTAAGTTCACTAAGCTGGCAACATTCCTGCCGTGGGAAGATGCTGTTGCCATATTGAGTGTTGGTGGACACATTATTTATTTTTCTAAAAACCTTTATTCATCAAAATGCATTAAATAACTTGGAGTTATTGTATATAACTTCCTACACGAGAAAATTTTAGGACTCCATGCATCCTAATTTTACAGACATTTGATTAATGACGATCAATTGGAAGTGTCATACACAATGTCAATTAGAAATGCACACAATTATTAATCATTTCCATACCTGTTGCTGATCATACACCGGGGTATGATGACTAATAGTTTGAACAATGACATCATAATTTTGAACAATTATGAACAGATAAATTCTTGTATAACATTACTCGCGAGTTATTTCATCAATCTAGTCCACATTTTCTATAATATCGAACAATAGTCGTTTATGAGAATACTTCAGTATTCTTCGTAAGCGCGTTACTTGCAGTAACGATATCCTTCACTGAGCCCACAATAACGATATCCTTTAGTCCATGCACAGTACCTCCCACAACAGCTGCTAACCCCAGAGTTAGCCACCATCAATCAACGTAGCCAATTTTTATAGCTTCTCTATATCAAAACGACAGCAGTACACTTATGAACTAAGTAAGAACTAAGTAATTGTTGTCATCCATCTAACCAACCATCCAACCATTCACCCACCTAACGATTAAAGTAACCATCCACTCAACTATTCATCCACCCAACAATTTATCCACCCAACCAACCATCCACATTTCTAACCATCCATTCAGCCATCTACCCAACCACACATCCAACCATCCATTCAGTCATCCAACCCTCCACCCAACCATCCATGACTTAGGGGTAATGATTACATAGAAGTGACATTTTTCCGGCCATTAATTTCTCGCTCTCTCTCTCCCCTCTCACCTATTACTACCCCTCACTTTCCTCACTCCCCTCTCACTGTCCCCTCACATACACACTTACTCATCACCCTGACCACACAAACTGTTATCTTCATTCATCACGGCTCGGACACCTTCCCTTCATCATTATCACCACCACTACCACCATCGTCACCACCACTACCACCATCGTCACCACCACTACCACCATCGTCACCACCACTACTTTCATCAAAATCATCACTATCAAAATCGGCATCATCAAAAATCTTCATATCACATTTTTTATTTTTTTTTGTACACCTTGTTGCTATTCAGACATTGTAACATTTAATGTGTTTATTTTCACACACTATTACTTCTACTTTCACCCTATTACTTCTACTTTCACCCTATTACTTCTTTCACCCTATAACTACCATTCTGTAACATTTCAGTGTTTCCTTCCATACTTTTATTGGTATTTTCAGTGTTGCTATTTTATTTGTTGAAGCCTGCAACTCACATGCCTCACAATTCACACTTTATGTCGTTCTCAACTTACTTTTAGTTCTCGATTTCTACACTGATCTCATTTCTACCCTTTTGACATCCTCCCTCACTCACTTCTCCTACCTTAGACTCACTATCTTACTCTCCCTCACTCACAAACTCCCCTCATTTGTCTTCCCTGACTCACACTTTCCTCCTGTCACAAGGTGTACGCAGCGAGAAATATTGGTAGCAATAAGACATTGGCATCTCTCTCTCTCTCTCTCTCTCTCTCTCTCTCTCTCTCTCTCTCTCTCTCTCTCTCTCTCTCTCTCTCTCTCTCTCTCTACAACCCACGCCCACTCTACAACCCACGCCCACTCTACAGCCCACGCCCACTCTACAGCCCACGCCCACTCTACAGCCCACGCCCACTTCTACAGACGCCCATCAAGTGGGTCGGCGCCTAAGGCAATGCCTGCCATCTCGATGACTGAAGTGATATACACTTGAGTGGCATTTTTATTTCCCTCCTGCTCACTTGTTTCTCCGTCTGCTTGTCCGTCTGTCTGTGTATCAGCGCACGAGTATGGCTATTACACCTATATATAAGGTTCAATGAGTCACTGAATATTTTTAAATTAATGACACCCGTCGGTTAAACCGAACACCCATTCGGATAAACCATAAAAAAGCATCGGTTAAACTGAACATCCATCCGGCTGAGTATGGTGCCTTAAACGAGTAGTCTAAAGTTGCCAAGGTGTATAATGAAGCTCCTGTGGCACAGTGGGCTACGTTCTCAGTAGCTTGAACCCGGGTTCCTACAATCGAGGGACTCCAGTTCAATTCCCGACCGTCCAAGTGGTTGGCACCATTCCTTTCCCTCATCCCATCCCAAATCCTTATCCTGACCCCCTTCCCAGTGCTATATAGTCGTAATGGCTTGGCGCTCTCCCCTGATAATTCCCTTCCCCCCACCTCTCAGGAGAGAAACGGCTAGACATGATTTCCTTTCACCTGATGCTTCTGTTCATCTAGCAGTAAATAAGTAACAGGGAGTTACGCAACTGTTGTGGCATGCATCTTGGATAACGTCAGTGGTTGGCTTAGGTGGACCTCGATAACCCTAACAACAGGCATTCTATTCCCAACAACAGAAATTCGATATGAAAATCATCCAAGCTAAATTTGAGCACATGTAAATCCTCCCAGGTACGGTGCAGGTAAATCCTCCCAGCTACGGTGCAGGTAAATCCTCCCAGCTACGGTGCAGGTAAATCCTCCCAGCTACGGTGCAGGTAAATCCTCCCAGCTACGGTGCAGGTAAATCCTCCCAGCTACGGTGAAGGTAAATCCTCCCAGCTACGGTGAAGGTAAATCCTCCCAGCTACGGTGTAGGTAAATCCTCCCAGCTACGGTGTAGGTAAATCCTACCAGCTACGGTGCAGGTAAATCCTCCCAGCTACGGTGCAGGTAAATCCTCCCAGCTACGGTGCAGGTAAATCCTCCCAGCTACGGTGCAGGTAAATCCTCCCAGCTACGGTGAAGGTAAATCCTCCCAGCTACGATGTAGGTAAATCCTCCCAGCTACGGTGTAGGTAAATCCTACCAGCTACGGTGCAGGTAAATCCTCCCAGCTACGGTGCAGGTAAATCCTCCCAGCTACGGTGCAGGTAAATCCTCCCAGCTACGGTGCAGGTAAATCCTCCCAGCTACGGTGCAGGTAAATCCTCCCAGCTACGGTGCAGGTAAATCCTACCAGCTACGGTGCAGGTAAGTCCTCCCAGCTACGGTGCAGGTAAATCCTCCCAGCTACGGTGCAGGTAAATCCTCCCAGCTACGGTGCAGGTAAATCCTACCAGCTACGGTGCAGGTAAGTCCTCCCAGCTACGGTGCAGGTAAATCCTCCCAGCTACGGTGCAGGTAAATCCTACCAGCTATGATGAAAAACTTGTAAATTGCTTTCTTTTGGAGTTAGTGCTCGAAACTTTTCTCCGCAACGAAGAAGTGTAAATCTCGCTGTTACCGGAGGAATTAATCCCTCCGTTAACCGAGTGATGTAAACCTTACCTCTAACAGTGCTGTAAATGTTTCGGTTAACGACGATGTAAAAGTCACCGTTAACTGTGCTGTAAATCGCAGGATGACAATGAAAGACGATCGACTTAACCCTTCAAAGTATCTATTCAATCGATGGATCAATCGAGAGAGAGAGAGAGAGAGAGAGAGAGAGAGAGAGAGAGAGAGAGAGAGAGAGAGAGAGAGAGAGAGAGAGAGAGAGAGCGCGGTGGAAGGGGGGAAAATAAATAGTGGTAATGAGAGTAGTCAAGAAGAAGGGAAGCTGGCAATAAAGATGTGAATGGCGGAAAGGAGAGAGGTAGGGAGGGAGAGAGGAAGGGAGAGATGAAGGGAGGGAAAGAGGAAGGGAGAGAAGGATGGACGTAATAATAGGGTGCGGGCGAGGGCAGGTCCAAGAAATTGTAGGTGGTGAATATAGAGTTTAGGCACACACTTTGGTGTGGTAGTGTAGTGGTGGTGGTGGTGGTGGTGTGGCGTTGTGGTGGTAGTGTAGTAGTGTAGTAGTGTAGTGGTGGTGGTGGTGGTGGTGGTGATAGTGTGGCGTTGTGGTGGTAGTGTAGTAGTGTAGTGGTGGTGGTGGTGGTGGTGGTGGTGGTGATAGTGTGGCGTTGTGGTGGTAGTGTAGTAGTGTAGTGGTGGTGGTGCTAGTGTAGTGGCGGTGGTATTGTGGGTGTCCGTGGTAGTGTGATAACACCTGTGAGGTAACAATGGGAGCAGAATGAGTGATAGTGGTGTCATGTGGTAGTAACAGTGACACTATGACGGTGACAATGTGGTAGGGGAGGTGGGGCGTGACAAGGCAGAATCATTCACCTTGTCAAGTCTAAAGAAACATATTACCCTGGACGTTCCCGCCGTGAGACAAAAATGTCTTAGCACCAGATATTTTAATTAATGAAACCACAAAGAAAGAAAGAAAGCTAACACACACACACACACCTGTTGATTGACGGTTGAGAGGCGGAACCAAAGAGCCAAAGCTCAAATCCCGCAAGCACAATTAAGTGAGTACACACACACACACATACACACACACACACACACACACACACACACACACACACACACACACACACACACACACACACACACACACCTACCTTAACACGCATCACAGCCTGAACACCTGCAATATCTGCCCACAACTGCCACACCTGCCAAACCTGCCTCAACGGCCAAATCGGGTCACCTGTGTTCAACACAATGTGTGTTGACGCTTCAGAGATACGCACTGTATCACTCAGGAAACCCAGAGGCGCAAAACGGGGAAAAAAACGCGGCACAGCAAATGGGTCGTGTTGCAAAATGCAAGAGATTGCACAGGTAATGGCGCCACGAGGCCCTGTCAGTGCTGCTGGCGATTATGCTGCAAGATGAAATGTTGGTAACTGATGTGAAGACCTTGTGTGTTGTGTTTTGTTTACTACTACACTCTTCCCTCTCCTTCCTCCTCCTCTCTGTCCGTCTCTCTCTCTCTCTCTCTCTCTCTCTCTCTCTCTCTCTCAAAAGAACATAAGAAATAATGAGTTAAATTTATACCTTGCCACTGACTCGTGTACTTATCTTACTGATTCATACGTGTCTATATATATATATATATATATATATATATATATATATATTATATAATTTAGCATTAAACTTTATTTATGATGTAATATATTATAAAACAATCAAATTAATTAGTTTCAAGGATTAGGCTACAGGTTGGCTGATATAGGATAACAACTCTTAGTTTGAGGTCATAATTTTGCCTAATGAACCGTATTCTTAGAGAGAGAGAGAGAGAGAGAGAGAGAGAGAGAGAGAGAGAGAGAGAGAGAGAGGGGCAGAGAAAGAGGAGTACTATCCCAGCTCTATACAGTTGCAGAGCCGTGATAAGGAGCTGGAGAAGGAGGTGGTGGAGTGGGTGGAGGCGGTGTTAGGGGAGAAGCTTCCTCCAGGCAACTTCGAGGACGTGTTTAAAGATGGCGTCGTCCTCTGTAACCTCATCAACAAGATCCAGCCCAACTCCGTCAAGAAGATCCAGACGTCCGGCGGCTCCTTCAAACTCATGGAGAACATTCAGAGGTAAGAAATAATATTTGACTTTCTAACACCTCATTTACTCTATCCAGGACCTGAATCTGTACCTCTTCATTTCCTCTATCGAGGACCTGGATCTAAACCTCTGCATCCTCTCTATTTATTGATATATTTTAAAAAGTTGAGGTTTCAAGGCGTACAGAGGCGCATAGATTAATGAGAAAGCAATTCTATGGTCTCAAAATTCTTGGCTTGACCCTCATCCTGACTGTACGAAAACTGTTACGTTCCAGCTTCCGTTACTATCTAATAGACAGTCTAATAAGGTTTTGCTAACATACTAACTGTTCCTTTCTGGAACTCCTGGGGAAGGGGGGGGGGGGGTTCTGAACTCTCTATATATGTATTACGTGATTTCAGGTAAAATTAAGTTTTCACTTGAATAAGACCAACAAATTGTTTCACTACCAGATCCCCAATTACTGCTGTGTAAACAGGGGCCGAAGAGTTAAGTATTGACGTCCAGTCAACCCTCCCTGGCTAGGATTCGATCCCAGAACAAATTACTCGCGAGGTACATGGGTCTATGTTGACAATGTTAATCATGCCAAAAAAAATACTTGATTAATTCCATACCAACGTTAATTTCACAACAACAACCTAGCTTAACCAAATCTAAAATGATGGGACGAGAAGTGTATATTTCAAGAAACTTTCGACGTCCGGCGCTGCCTTCTTCACAGCTGGGACGACACAAGACTAAGATTCAATAGCCGGTGCTCCGAGGACAACTAGAGAAGCAGGCGAGCGTGTTGTACAGGAACACAGATCGGGGGAAAATTGTCACAGAAGTGACAGAACTCTATACATGTCATCGACAGTGATATATAATTGGTGTTGCATGTTCCAGGTTCCAGGAGGCCATTAAGAAGTATGGCGTGCCTCACGAGGAGATCTTCCAAACGGCTGATCTTTTCGAGAGACGCAACATCCACCAGGTGGTCCTCTGCATATACTCCCTCGGACGCATCGTAAGTACTGGTGAACAGGCAGAGAGATTGGAAAGCAGTCTCAGGCTGTTTGTCAAGCAGTCAGGTAGGTTGTAAAGCAGTCAGGCAGATAGCCAGTCAAGCAGTTAGGTAGGCAGTCAGGCAGGCAGTCAAGCAGTCAGGAAGGTAGGCAGTCAAGCAGTCAGGAAGGTAGGCAGTCAAGCAGTCAGGAAGGTAGGCAGTCAAGCAGTCAGGCAGGTTGTCAAGCAGACGAGCACGCAGACACAACCTTCTATAACTCACACTTATACCGCAGGAAGGGAGAAGCCAATTAATTTCCACGTGTTGATTCACATGTGTATTCATACATAATCAAGGGATACATACACCAGTATACAGGGAACACACGTACATAATTAGGTGATACATACACCAATATACCAGGAACACACGTAATCAAGTGATACACCAGAAAATCCAAGAGCTGCTTGGTATTAAAGATAATTATCTTTGGTGGAGGTGGTGGCAGCAAAGAGCCTGTAATTATGTTAAATACTTTTATTTATTAGTTTAATATCTCTTGATAATCACCCGTCACTGATTGTGAAAGAAAGCCAACAACAACAGCTGGAACTGACTGAATGTTGGTTACCTTGGTATGTAAACTCGACTGATAACCGAATTATATTGATCAATAGTTATTGATTATAGCAGGGATTAATTAGATTTTCCTTGGAGAATCATTACCAAACACAAAGATGTTCAAGGGCTTTTACCGACTGGCCCATCATATGACAAAACAGTGGAGGAATCCACCGATTCTCAAAGATGTTAATTAACAGCACGTTTATTTATGTAAATTATATCCTAACAAGAAAAAGACCTACATGCAATTGGGAACGACAATATTCAAAACAGTTACAGGCATTTACCTTTTTTTTAATGAAGTTGTTGTTATACCAAGTCTGTTGGTAGACCTGTTCCCTTGCAATGAAAACACTCCCTGGCCTTCTCCGGCCCGAATTCACACGAACTACTAATTCTACTCTCTGACTAATGCTCCTTGAAACCCTCGTCCTTTGACACAACTGGGAACCTATCTCGAGGCAGAATAAAGCTAGGCCTACCATGCCCACCAATGACCAAGGGTAGCCCCACCTACTGGTCACTCGTGGGGCACTGTACAAAAACACCTTGGAAACTGGGCATGGTCTTGCCATGAATGGCTGTCCTCAAAGAGAGAAAACTACCTCGTGTCCTGGTATTAGACGGCATCTACCTCAGAATCCGCCGATGTAATTTGTCACTTGTCAGTTTGGAATGGTGCAAGAAGACAAGGCCTAATCTGTTCCCATGGGCATGTGCTGCTGAAATACATTATCTCACACTAGGCCATAAACTTTGACTACACACACTGCACAGGAAGGGAGATCTCCAGTGTGTTACATTTGATCGCTGTCCCATATTTCAAGATATCAACTGCATCAGCTCACACATGAACTCAAATAGGTTGTTAACTTTAAAATACCCCAGGCCATCTCACCAAAATCTCCCAAATCCATCTCAACCTACCATGTTCCATCCTACTTAACGTCCAACATGGGTACCCCACCCTGGGAGGTCTATTAGTGTATAAACAGAAAGGAAGAATAGAGGTTTCGAAAAATGGAAACCCCCACACCCTAGTTACCAAACCTCAGGAGGTTCCATGCCACAGGGTTCAATCTCACAACTTCTCCTCTCGATTGTTATATGGGTATTGATAAAAATGTACTGATAACGTAGATATGGAAGCCTTATTATATATATATTAATTGGGTGTAAGAAGGAAACAAATAATTTTTTTTATGTTAGCACAAATCTGCTTAAGAAGTTTGATTCATATTAAAGTCCAAATATATAAAATCAAGACAAATGGGGGTCCTTTGAGAAGCCGCCGGCTTCCTGTCCTCGTCAAGGCCACTAGAGAGATAGTGACCCTCAAGTAAATTTACGTATTAATGTTAATATGTCAATATCAATTTTACTTTAATATGGACAACTGATTAACAGCTTCAGTTCCCTATAGATAAGGAGAGAGCTTCAGTTTGTTTCTAGCACTAGCCATTATTTAGAGACTTTTCTATATCGCACAGACCCAGAAACACCCGGAGTACACAGGCCCACGTCTTGGTCCCAAGATGGCTGATGAACAGAAGCGAGAGTGGGACGAAGACCAGCAGAGACAGCTGAGGGACGGCCAGATCGGCCTCCAGATGGGGCAGAACAAGGGTGCTACACAGGCAGGCCTCGGCGCCTTGGGCCAGACACGACATATGTAGATGGAAGCGGAGGGAGACTTCGTCAGATTTACCGGCATGCAGGCTCATACCCTCTCCTCAGCGGCAGTCTCTTCCCCTTCTGCCACCAAAAGAGCGCAGTGTTAGCAGCCTTCTCCTCCTCTTCTATCTGCTACCAGCAGCACCCGTGTCCTCTTCTGTCTGCTACCAGCAGCCCCCGTGTACTCTTCTGTCTGCCACCACATTATTTGTCCTCTACCACCAGCAACATCCATCCTGCAGAGTCCAACGTCTTCCTGTTCACATGTACCACTAGCGGAAGCTACCCTTCTTCCTCTATTGTTCATGTACTTTCACCAGTCCCCGCACACTCTGCATAATCTTATACCTGTTCCTGTACTTTGTGTAACCTTCCACCTGTTCGTGTACTCTGCCTAACCTTCCACCGTCCATGTACTCTACGTAACCTGTCTGTTCTTCTGCATTTGTACCCAAATACCAGTGATAAACACCTTCCAGAATGTAGATATCCTATCATCTGTGCCTTGAGGCGTGCCTCAGACCCATGAGACTCCCAACAGCTCTTTCTCCATCAGCCATATAAACCACAATCAATAAAGATTCGAACTTTGAAAGCACATCTTTTCCGGTAATTCTTACCATACAAAACATTTCCTTTAACATACAACCCCTCTCCTAAGCAACATGGGTCTACAGCCTTTATTTTCCATGGAAATATGTGTTTGTTATAATGAAGGCGAGGAGGATATAAGGATTTTTAAATGTAGATATTATATATATATATATATATATATATATATATATATATATATATATATATATATATATATATATATATATATATATATATATATATATAGCCTACCAAGGAAATTTTAATCAACGTTATTTTTTTACTTTCTTTTTGTTAATATTTTCAGTTGGATGGTGTTATTTGAAAGTTTATGGTTTATTATCCAGAGCCTGATTAGCTCTGAGGCCCAGAGCTTGCACGAATCTTAAGGCGTTTTGAGAGCTTTCCACACACTCCTCTGTCGTTTCGGGTCTCCAAGAGCTCAACCAGTGATTCCAGCGAGCTCTTGGCCTCAGTGCTCACTCTATGACCGTCTTCCCCATTATAATATTGATGTCATCTACCAGATAGCCTTGCAGTTAATGACGTTGCTATCATCCACTTCGGGGTCTGATATCCAACAAAGTCGCTGTTATCTACCCGAGAGTTTGATACCCAATGGCTTCGCTATCATCCTTCTAAAGAAATGATACCCAACGACTCCGCTGTCATCCATTTAAGGGACTGATAGCCAAGGACGTCTTTAGCGATGGTTTGAGCTGAGACTCAGACTTTAGCAAGTATTGACTTCATCAAGCCAGAGGAAGCACCAATGACATCACAGCTTCCTGGTCCACCCACCAGCTTCCTGGTCCACCCACCAGCTTCCTGGTCCCACCCACCAGCTTCCTGACCCACTCAACAGCTTCCTGTTCCACCTACCAGCTTCCTACCAACCCACCAGCTTCCTGACACATCCACTAGCTTCCTGGTCCACCAACAAGCACTGACATGGTTTCTGGTTCACCAACAAGCTTCCTGGCCCACTGACCAGCTGCCCGGCCCACCGAACAGCTTCCTGGCACACCGACCCGGCTTCATGGCCCACCGACCAGCTGCCTGGCCCCACCGACCAGCTGCCTGGCCCCACTGACCAGCTGCCTGGCCCACCGACCAGCTTCCTGGCCCCACCGACCAGCTTCCTGGCCCCACCGACCAGCTTCCTGGCCCCACCGACCAGCTGCCCTGCCCACCGAACAGCTTCCTGGCACACCGACCCGGCTTCATGGCCCACCGACCAGCTGCCTGGCCCCACCGACCAGCTGCCTGGCCCCACCGACCAGCTTCCTGGCCCCACCGACCAGCTGCCTGGCCCACCGACCAGCTGCCTGGCCCACCGACCAGCTGCCTGGCCCACCGACCAGCTGCCTGGCCCCACCGACCAGCTTCCTGGCCCACCGACGAGCATCAGCTCATCCAGCTACTTAACTGTCAGTGCGCCTTGCGTTGTTCCAGGTTTCCGCTTTGTGTATCATATTTAATAAATCATAATCATTCAGTAATATTTTTGTGCCCATTTATTGACTGTGTATCTATGTACTCTCGAATAATGCATATCATTTTGATGTCAAAATCCCCAACGGACAAAACGTGATGAACTATAAATCATTGAGGCTCACTGGGATGTTTCTGTTCGTGGGTCGCTCAGGTAGGCTCGGGTGTACACTATTTTCCATCCGTTGTGGCAACTCGAGGGGACAGGCTGAACAGATTATGCTCGAAAATCAACAATTAATAGTCAGGTGAACGCGGCTGGATGTGATTAATACGGTAGGTGAACGCGGCTAGGTGTGAGTAATACGGCAGGTGAACACGCTAATTGATCACTTTCAAAGGTTTTCCTCAGGTAAAGTGAATATTTTTTGTTTCCTGTCCTTTAATTGAGCTTAACCAAAATGGTCATATTTTGAGACCATTTTGACCAAAATGAGAGACCATTTTTTGAGACCATTTTGACCAAAATGGTCTCATTTTGGTCAAAATTGCCTCGACAGCGATACTTGATCACATCCACGACGACGATACTGGATAATTTGGATATCTACGTTTAAAGAAATAATTTCTTCCCGTGACGATGTGATGCTGGAGAATGCGAGTTTATAATAAATTATTTACAAAATGCGTATATATACAATATTAGTTACTACAAATGCAGTCTACATATGTGTCTTTCAAACGTGTAAAGAACTTCGTAACATTTTAAGACAGCACCACCAGATACTTTTTAAAATTTTAGTGTTTATATCAATAATGATGGTATCCGGGCTTACTTAAAACGTGGACATCCTTCGATCTTAGATCTGATGTAGTTTACCTTCTTAAATGTTCAAGGTTTAATGTTCGATAGGTGAGGGATAATCTCACGATGTGTAAACATCTTGGAAAACCCTTAAGGCTTTAAGGTCTTAAGCTTTTGGGCGAGTCCCATCGTCAGCAAGACTGAACACTATGAGGCTAAGATATCAACCTTTGCAGTTGGAGCGACTTTACTCTACCAACTTCCATTTCTGTTAGACTGGACCTTTAACATTTTGGAATCAATTCTTATTGCTAAAATGAGACATTAAAGTCCCTCGACTCCATTGTTTATATATTAGTATCGTCTTCTGCAAGGAGGTGGTCACGTCCTTTAAATAGACTGAGTAGGTTTTATTGGCTTTATCGTTAATTGGCATCGATTTTTGCCGAGCTTTTAAATTTCAGTTTATACATTTTAGTAAATATTTTGCTTAGTAAATCATTTTATCTTTTTTACCACTTAATATTGAGGACCCGTGTACGTATGGAAAATAAATAAAGATGATGTACTTGTCTTCTTTTGAACTACTTTTGCTCTCTCTCTCTCCCTGAGTGTGTATATATATATATATATATATATATATATATATATATATATATATATATATATATATATATATATATATATATATATATATATATATATATATATATGGATATGGAGGAGGGAGAAGAGAGCCGGGGAGACACAATAGCGAGGAATATGTGTTGAGCGGCGGAAGAGGAGCAGCGTCGGTCGGACCGGACGAGAGCTGCACCAGCCACTGGGGACGCGATAAGCAACATTCCCAGGCTGATGGCTGGGTAATGAGGAGACCCGACCCGCCCAAGTGGTCATCGCCGCCACACACCGCTCCACCACAGGCTTTTTGTTGCCGCGAAAACACCCGAGATATACAGGCGGCTGCTATTACATGCATCAGGTGGTTCCCGCCGCTTATTGAACGGTTTCTCTTTGGTCCGGGATCTATCCCCCCCCTCTCCCCGGGCATCCAACACCCCGTCCCTATCCTCCCCCTTCCCTACTTACACCCATATCCCCTCCCTCTCACCCCCAACCTAACCAATACCCAACCCATCCCTGCCACTCCCCACGCAGCGGGAATCCCTGATGGTGGAGGGGCCTCCCTCCTAAACCAACTCTCACACCAAGCACGCAAACTCACTATTTCAATCTTCATTCAAGTGATTCCGCGCACGGTTGAAGCGATGGAACAGAATTACAAGTAAAATTGGAAACTACTGGACGGTTCGCGTTGTAGGCTTTTCAGAGAGGCACCTTGTCATTGTCATTACCGTTTAAATACCAACAGTAGCCTAGCATGCAAACGATAATTAACTTCATGCATTACGCCCCACGTTTCGTTATTATATTTTTATGTTATTTTGATTTTTTTTTAGAAAATTGCCTTAGTTTGTACTATTTTACAGGTAGATATCCGGTACATGTAATTAGAGAGGCTCATTTTGCCTTGACACTTTATGATAATTGATACCTTAATGCTACAGACGCGCACCTGGGGCCCTGGTTAAGCTGATATTTACAGCGGCTGCTTTTGTTGCTGCTGTTGGACCAATGGGGCTTTTTAACCCCCTTTTTTTCGTAAGAAGTGGCATTTGTATTCACGAGGGAATGGCGGCGAAGTAACTCACGTGGCTCGACGGGTCACGTAAAGCCACTTCACATGATGATTCTTGCTTCGTATTACTATGTTTATGTCCTGAAATTTAGACTAGAGTATGTTCGGCTAGAACCTGTTCGGACGCAGGTTCGAATCCTCGTCACGGCCCTTGTGGATTTGTTCACTTTGTATTATATATCAGCCTTGGCATGTGCAGCAGTTATTACAACTACAACAGCTGCTTAAGATTACTCTAAATTGTATTTTAATTTCGTCTATAGTTATAATATTTGATATAATATTTGAGACCAGTGAAGAATTGCAACTTGAAGGGGAAGGCAGTTCCTAGAATCGAGTCCAACCACTTGGACTGGACGGTAGAGCGACGGTCTCGCTTCATTCAGGTCGGCGTTCAATCCCCCGATCGTCCAAGTGGTTGGGCACCATTTTTTCCCCCGTCCCATCCCAAATCCTTATGCTGACCCTTTCCCAGTGCTAAATAGTCGTAATGGCTTGGCGCTTTCCCCAGATAATTCTATCCTCCTCCTTCCTAGAGTCGAAGAAGGACAAATTATGTGTGGGTTGACATTATGCCACGTTCAACACCGGAAGCACATATAGACGCCAATACTTCAGCACACTATATTAAACTGACAAACATATAATCAACCTTGAAAAGCCAAAGCAATGAAGCAATCGAGACATTATACATCACCTATGTGAGGCCAGCTCTTAAAGTTTCCAACCCTAACAGGAATACCACAAATCGTCAATCACAAAAAATGTAAATGAAAAAATCAAGTGATTTCCTACAACGCTGGTATAAAAAAATAATAAAAAAAATGAATTGACTAAGTGAACTGAGGACTGACTAATTGAACTGAATTTTGCATCGCAATGAAAGAAAAGAATAAACTGAACATGTCCATAACATTAAACATAACTGAATTAACGTGGATAAGGCACATGTAAATTTGGTTTATTTATTTTTGTATAAGTATACGAGTTGAGAGCAAGTGGAGTGAGCTGGAGATTTTTTTTTTGCAGGGATATTCCTGCGCGGGTCCCAAGCCTCTGGCTGGCCCACTGTTACTTGTTTCTGTTTTACTTAGGCGGAGTATGTGTATATATATGACTTGTATGGTCGCTTCAGTAAGATTTTGTCTCATGTGTTTAACAACTTCTGTGTTGAATCTAAGATGAAATCTTATTGGATTTATAACTGTGCACTGTGTTAAATAATGTTCCAGTGGTCTGTCAGGCATTTCTCCACAGTGCTGACATTTCCTCTCATCTTCCGGAACCTGTAATCCTATTTCCCATGTACCTGGAGGAGATGACACTGACTATATTTTCTGCTTTAAGATAAAAGATTTACAGGGATGAGAGCCATTAAATATCACAAACAGGCACAAATAGTACATACAAATAGTAAATACACACACCAAATAAAGTGGAACAAGGACATACTACACAGCACAGTTGAGAACATAATGAGATAACACAGTTTCAGATAAGGAAGTAAGTTTTCATTATGAGAACAGCGGGAAACTTGAGAACATTAGAGAAGGATGCAGTGGAGGATGACTCAAAACTCTGTAAATAAATATTGTTACAACAATGCATGACTGTCAGGAGCCATTGGCTAATGACATATACAGCTAACACGTAAGGTCCTCAGGGAAAGTTGGAAACACAAGCGAGACAAAAGAACGTAAGTACTCAAGTACTGCACGACAGCCAACAGGTAGAATACACTGAAAGATGATGTTCTGGAAACCACCTCCAGGAGGTTTCCAGGACATCATCTTTCAGAGTAAATGCAATTCGTAAATATAAGAGCGAATAAAACACAGAAATTGAACGTCAAGAGATTTAAAAACGCGCCAGGTACTAAGTTTGAGGGGTGGGACGTAGGGAACGTTTCGGTCACTGATAAGTAAGCGCTGATAGATAACGACACACACACTACCGTAGGAAGGCTAATTCGGACAACGTCAGTAACCACCGAGAAAACCAATGAGGAGGTATCGAGTCTTCTGAAAAAATTACACATCACAAGAAATGAGATCTATCAATTTATCGCCGTTGATAATAAAGGTAGGTGATGCAGCCTTAAGGAAGCCTCTTGCCAACATATATAGAATGTCACCAGAGACAAGATACCTTATGAACATTCAGAAGAGGAACTTTATACTGATTTTTAAGAAAGATGAGAGATATAAAAGTCCTAAACTACGGATTTGCAGCTACTATCCTTATACCATGCAAACTGTGACAAGGGTTAAAAAAGGCTGCCATAATTTTTGGAAAAGATTGACTTCATTACAAGATACCAGCAGAAATTTAGGAATTATAATCCCTGTCTTATTCATCTACTTATGGCTTACAATAAACCGACAGACATCACTTAGGAAAAGATGGATAGGCAGACTGCATATTCCTGGACTGTGCGAAGGCCTTCGATACAGTGCCCCACAGGAGGCTGTTTAATAGAAAATGGAAAATAAGCATGGGTGAGACGGGAAGCTTTTGCTACGGTAGATACTGGAGTAACTGTATGATAGGAGAGTCTTGA